AGGGAGGGTGAGAGGAGTGGGGGGAGGGGGAGAAGAGAGGGGGGAGGGGGAGAAGATTGGGGGGAGGGGGAGGGAAATGGGAGTTTGGGAGGAGGCGGAAACTTTTTTTTCTTATTCTCAATAAAAAAAGAAAAAAATGTTACAAAAATGTGTAAATTCATATGTATAATAATTAAATCTTTTATTATGTAATTATCTATAACTATATGGTAAATGTGAGTGGAGGTGCCTTTTATGGGCTCTGCATTCACAAAGATGAGGCGAATGACTTGACTATGGTCATGTCATTTGTAATCAACTAGAAAAGCCCATAAAAATGTGTTCTTAAGAGTACAAGGTACTTTTTAAAAATTGTTTTGTTTCGATATTGCTAGGTCTTCTATACAACAGAGGCTGGCCCTGAACTCAGAATCTTCCTGTGACTATTAACCACCACATCAGCTTCAAGGTAGTTTAAATGCTACTTGTTTCTTAATCATCAAGTTCATTTTATTGTTCCCCTATTTCTGGCTTGCTCCTTCCTTGACTTTCAGAAGAAAGAAAACAATTCTGTAACATCCAAACACATTCAGTACAATTTATTGTTTCTTTAGAAGTTCTTCAGTGCTTTTACAAGTGAAATGAGTACCACGTATAAAACTTTCAAAATTGCATTTTGCACCCATAGAAAAAGAAAAGACATATAGCATAGTTGTAGCATCCAGGTAAAGCGTATTTATAGCAATGAATTCTCGAGTTTCTAATTGTTTGGGTAATTTCAGTAAATGATTTTCAATGATGGTGAGAAATGAGATGCTGAATTATTAAAGCTTGCTTATTTGAATATGGGGAAGCATAAAACCTAATACTGAAATCCAGCATATTTAAAATATATTGTATTTTGTTACTTGTCTTATTTATTTCTAACTCTCAATTATCCTTATGGCTCGAGGTAGAATACTGCTACAGGCAATTCAGAGAAGTGGATAATAAGCAAGTGTTAGATTATTATCTCTATCTTTGTAATATGTTATGGCTGCACAGTACCAAAACAAATAGTTTAAATGTAACCAGCTCAATTGAGCAAATTATTTTGTAGTAAAGATAAAAAAAAAACAGTTATTTACATTAATTAATGGAACCACCTATACTTATAAGGTTTATATGTTTGGACCTCATTTCTCCTTGCCCCCTTGAAATTATGACTCCTTCAGACAATTAATTCATGCCTTTGATTGTATTTAGGTTGTCAGAGTAGAGCGTGGAGCTTGTTTGCTAACAGAAAATAAGGTAGCCTAAAAACTGGTGGTAAGTCATAAAGGAGAAGGACATATCAAGTGAAAATGTGCACTTTAAAGAAAAATCTCTTACAGATTTTCTACTTATTGTTTTTATCCATACCTTTTGTTTGATGATCATCTCATTGATGTCCTCAAGATCACCCACCATCACCCTCTGTGATTTTATAACTCGATCAAGCAAAGAAAGCCATTCTGTAAGTTCTGTCCAAGCTCGGTTGAAGTCTGCCAGAGCAGGTACCTCCAACAGCAAAGAAGATGGCATTTCTAGTTTGGAGATGACAGTTTCCTTGGTAACCACAGACTGTGTCACTAGAGTAACAGTCTGACCAGGAGCTGGTGTTTTTGAAAGAAGGAAGAAAAGAAGAGAGAAAAATTGAGAAACATGCAAACAAGCCACTTTCAGTAACAATAAAAAAATATTAGTTGATAGCCAACAGTTTGAGTCAGTAACAATAAAGATACATTCGTTGACAGCCAACAGTTTGAGTCAAGACTTCTCACAATGTATCTAGCAATGCGGATACTTTATAGAGTATATATCAGAAAACATTTAAATGTTTAATAATCTTTAAAAATTTTTAAACTTATTTTCATGCTTTAAAAATTTAATTTTTTTCAGTAAGAATCATATAGTTTGTGAAGTTTATAAACAAAACTATTGAGATATTTCTAGGTAAAACTTACATATTTATTGACCATTCAAAGAAGAAAATAAAAAACTAAAGATTGTATAAGGTCATATTTCTGATTTCAGATTTTCTTGAATAATAAATGTACTTAGTTGGAAGAAACTCTCTGCATCTTACAGTGGGGACACTTCACATTTTATCTTCTGGTTTGGCAATAAAGTAGTAGATAATAGTGAAGAAAAAGCAAGGTCTATTATTTTTTAAAAGTGATAGCTAGTAAAACTTTTCTTTTTGATATAAAACACTATTTCGAGATCATTAAAATCCCAAATTAAAGTTAATAGTGTTGAATACTTCAATGGATACATGGAGTCTTCAGGCGAGACACATGGGTGAGAATCCTGCTGTCTGCCTTAGGAACCCTGAGCCCTTGCTTAAGTTATTCAACCTCTCTAATACTGAGCTTTTCTCATCAACGAAGGAAGAAAATAACAGAGTAAATGTCACAGGGAAAGATGTCTGGACTCAATGATAATACAAGAAATGTAAATACAGCAATGCCACACAATATCATCATCATCGTCCTTGTCGTTGTCATCATTGTCATTATCACAGTATTAGTGAGGTGCTAATAAGCTAGTCATTACTGTTAAGTATTACTATTTTATAATTACTTGGTCGATTATAAAATACTACTAAAAATATGGTGACAAGTGAGAGATGAGGACTGAAGACATGAAATTTGGGGAAAACTTGGTCTGCTGTTTGTTTGCTGCCCTATATTAACTAAATGATGCTGAGATAAATTTTCTGGTGTGAAATGATGCCTTGGTAACAACACAGAGAAGGATGATCAGAAACCAGTGCCAAAAGGAAGAATTCATTAATCTGTTTTACAGACAAATGTGACAGCATCATTATAATCAGGAGAGCCGCAGCAATGAAATACTGGATTAAGTGGTTCAGAAGGGAAGCATTCGGGAAGCACTGGAAATGGCATCTTAGCGGAAGATCTCATAGGTGTGTATAAGGGAGTTATTCAAAGCACATCAAAACTGTGCACCTGTATACTCTGAGGTGACAATGCATTCATTTCAGTTGACTGCATTGTTATTCATACTTTTTAAGTGGTCTCCTCATTAAGAAGACCGGAGAGGTAGAAGGATGCTTCTTCTCTTTCTAATGTCTAGGGAACACCCAGCAATTCCCACAGACAGAAGAGTAAGGCAGAATGAAAAGTGTTGCAGGTGTCAGAATTGAAACATAATACAAAAAAGGAGTAAGGAGAAAGCTAACACTGAAGAAATAAGAAGCATTGTTTTTCAAAGTCATCACACTACTGAGAGCATTTCTGAAAAGCAGGAAACCTAATCTGAAGCAAAACTATCATCTTGTGATCTATAGTACAAAGTTATTCATATACTTGCACTCTCCTCCCCTACTGTAAATTAAGTTTAGATATTATACAAGAAATCTCAACCAAGGAATTCGATCCTCAGGAATGATATATGGGTATGGTTGAGAGGAGAATTAAAATCTAACTGTAGGAGCTTACTGTAGACCATTAGGCGAACTGGAAAGCATGCTGCTAAAATAAATACACACTGACTTCTAGCAGCGTAGAATAGATTGTCAAGGTTTTCTTTCAAGCACCCCCTTCAAGTCTTTTATTGTTTGAAATTTTGATACATGTATATACTATTTTTTAACTCTACCACCTCTCATTTCCTCTCCTCAAATGCCCCCTCTACCCTCAATCACTTTTCCTTTCCAATTTCAAACACTTAAAAAGCAGAGTTCACTTGGGCTGAGTTCATAATCATCATAATTTTTCCACTCTCTCTTCCATGAAGATACCCAAACCTTAGGGGGGAGAGGTATGGTATAGATGCACCATTTAGAGCTCATCACTACACAGACTCTTATTCTGTGCCTATTGGTAGTTGTGGGGCTCTGGATCTATCACAAAAAAATTTCTAAAGAAAGTTGAGATATGTACTATGCTATGAATATAGAGATGTATATTTAGAAGGTAGTTATAAACTAAGTTCATTTAGCAGAGTGATAAGTATTTGGTTCTCCCCAAAGGCAGTCACAGGTCCCTCATCTAGCTAGTACCATACATGAGTTCTCTCTCATGGAGCAGACTTTAAAACTAGTTGTTACTATCCATGCTACTATTACATCTGTAGACTTATCTCTCCAGGCCATTCATTATTTAGCTCATAGCGTCATAGCTGTATATTCTGACTAATCCTATTTCTCCCCCAGTAGCATACATAGACACTTTCAACACTACAAATCCTATCAAGGTAGTTGATGGAAGACAGGGAGTTAGTGTTTTTTAAAGGTGTGCCCTCTGATAGGTGTAACAATTTCCAGTGGAGACTCTGTCAAGAGTACATAGACAGTACTAATGGGATTCAATGGGTGATTTTTAAAACGAGGTGGGTATAGAACAGGAGGTTAATCTGACAGGAGTTGTAGCACAGAGGTGGTTGAATACCATCAAAATATAATGAATGAAATTTTCCAAGAGTTAATTAAGATATATAGTTACAAAGCCCATGTTCATTAAACATTTTGGTATACTTAAAAGTCTTCTATATACAATGAATCCTAAAGTTAACAATTAATTGTAAATATATGTTTCGGGAAGGGTAAAATGTAGACTATGTGTAAGCATTTTGCTATTTGGATTTTAACTATTTTTTAGAAAAATATTTACTGTATTTTATTTTGTGTATATGTGTGTTACATAACTTCTTGAGATGCTAACGATTCTATCAAACTTATGCATTGCACTAGAAAATTAAAATGATTGTACCCAAAACTGTGAAATTTCTTTCATAGTTACACAAAATGACAAATTTAAAACAGCTAAATTGAATTGACTTTGGTAAAACAAAAATAACAGTAGGTGTAATATACTATTGCAAATGACAGCTTTGCTCTGAGTACTTTGTTAATTAAAAGGTGTTGACTTTAAGAAGGAACTCTTATTTTTTCCAAAATGTTTGAAGAGCATTTCTGTAGTCTAAATTTTTAATTGGTTTTATGGATACATGATTAGGCAGAGTATCAGCTTTGCTTAGAGCTATAAAACGTCTACTAAACTTTTCAAACACATACACACACACACTCTCACACACACATAATGTATCTGGTATCTTTCCTTTGAAGTGTTCACACACAGTTTTTCTATAATTCACAGGTCTTCTTTGGTTGGTTAAAAAAATACAAGAACATATTCTATTTGTAGCTTTGTTATATGACTGTGTTTCTTTCCATCTTCTGTTTGAAAATCAGTTAAGTTACTAATAAGTGATTGAATACATACTAATTGCTATGTGAGGTATATGTATACAATCCTATTATATTTTATTTTCATTTCATCATTCTGTGTTAAAAGAAGGTGAAATTGATACACATGACTAAATTGCTTTGCTGACTTGTTGAGATGGCACAGTGGCTAAGGATACTTGCTACCAACCCTGAAAACTCAAGTTTGACCCTGAAACACACAAGGTGAAAGTAGAGAACCAATTCTTAAAAGTTTGGCTTGCGCATATATGCTATGGCATGTATACAATCCCATCCTCACCTATACTACCTCATCACACAAAGTAAATAAATAAATTACCAATAACCAATGTGCTTCTGTTTAGTACTAAGGGATATAAAAAAGCCTCTAACTATCATTGAATTAAATAGCAGGAAGAAACATGAATAGTTTCTTTCTGAATATTTATTTATTCATTTATTTATTTATCTATCTATTTGTTTATTTATTTATTTAAAATTTCCACCTTCTCCCATCCTCCCTCTTCCATCCCCCTCCCCCTCCCCCTCATTCTCCAGTCCTAAGAGAAGTCAGGGTGCCCTGCCTTGTGGGAAGTCCAAGGTCCCTCCCTTTATCCTAGGAAGGTGTGCAGACAAACAGACTAGGTTCCCCCAAAATCCAGTACATGAATATTTAAAAAGATGGGATTTGTCATATTGAAATACAGAACAATTCAAGAGTACTGGGTAAGAAATCAAAAATCATTTCTGGAGTCCAGGATAGAAAAATATATTTTATATAAATGAGGAAGAACCTCGATTCTCTGTATCTGTAGTCTATACATAAAATTAGAAATCAATGTGCTTCCACAAGGAAAGAAAATGTTGAGAAATACACAAGGTGAAAGATTCATACAGTCATGTTAATTTTATTTCCAAATCAGAAGGCTTGAAGAAAAAAATTTCAGCCAAAGCCATAGACCCTTTGGAGTATAGTCTAAGCCAATTACTATACTGCCCTGTACAAAAGATGAAGAGAGAAAAGCTAAGCAAAGCCAGTGATACTAGTGAAAGATGACCCTCAAATCCCAAAGTGGTATCAGAATAATATTTATGTAACTACTTGGTTTAACTAAAGAATGTGTGTAGATCTCACTATAGGAAATGTGACAATACAGAGTCTACCCCCCAAAAGAAAAATGTAGACATGGCAAAAAAATTTATGATTAACTATTCAGTGTAAATGAGGCTTGTACTTGATCGAGGAAGCTACTTTTTAATCCTGGGAAGTATTAAGAAAATAAAAAAAACAGTTTAAGACTGTTACATCAAATAAGATCCCCTACTAAGAGTCAGATTCCCAAATAAGATACTTGTAGCTGTTAGTCATCTTTAACAAAACCCTCAATGTGTAGCACATAA